TAATGTTGTGATAATGCGCTATATAAATAAAATTGAATTGAATTGAATTGAAATTAAAAAAAAGACAATTCTTACCCATTATGGACTTTTTTTGTCTGAAGACCAGGGACCTGCAGACTGACACAGGATAGAGTGGGCTACTTAATGCAGAGATTTACCTGCAAAATAAGTAGAGATGCATAAAATGTCAGTTAACATATCAGAATCGGCTGATATCTGTTAAAAAAATCAAGACGTCTACATTGGTCCAATATGTCAATATTGACCGATATTTAAACTTTATCAATATTCAAAGTTAGCAGCACCAGAGCTAAATACATAACTACTAAAATGATGGAGCTCATTGCATTGGACGATTCATTATTTCATAGGTTCGTTCACCACTTAGAATAGGTTTCAAAGTACTGCCCTGTGAGAAGGCTTTATAGGGCCAGTGACTCTTTATAATACAGTACTATATCTGGCCCATAAATTGTTTGTTTCCGTTCAAGGATGTAATGTCATTCTGCGAATCTGTGCATCTGTTCCGACCCCGCCCACTCAGCAAGTGGCTCAGAGTTTAGCTGGATATATCAGTACCTGTGATAATATATAAAAATATACTGGTTATTAACCGCACCCATCAAAATTTCCTTCTAACGTCATTATGCACACAATTATATTTTATTAATTACAGTAGTTGCATGTAGTCGTCCTTCAACAACAGTGGTTCACCTGCTTAAACTACAAGACAACAAGAAGACATGGAAAACACAAGTTGGCTGAAGCATACAAAGTAATATGTAAGCAGGCAGGGCTGGACTGGCCATCTGCCGTACCGGGCAATGCCCGGTGGCCCGACGCACATTTTTGGGCTGGCCCGGGGCAATTTTTTGGTCGCAGTCTAGCCCTGTAGTGTAAGTAGGTAAAATACTGCTTATGAGATATTCCTTATGCTTACGCTAATCGGTAATCTGTCATTATTAGTAGTATTGCACAGTTGTTGTTGCTCATTGGATAATGTTTGTCATTTATCACTGCCCTTTGCAGTACCCACTGGAGCAGTGAGTGAGTCCAGCTTAGCCGGCTCTGCTACAGTACGTGCCTCAGAGCCGCCCAAACCCAGTCAGCGCTGAGTGCTCAGAGGCACGCCAGCTGAAGAGGAAACGTCCAACAGGCAGAAAACCTCAGTGCGTGCAGTTGGAGTTGTACCATGTGATCAGCATTTAATTTCCTTAGCTCTACATGACAACTGTTTTCATTTATTATTGACATCTTTTATTTTACTGATTCACCTTGTGCCAGTTTCATTTTGGGGTGTTTTTAGACAATATGACATTTATGAGGGAAGTACCTACAGTACCAGGCAACTATGCTAACAGCAGACATAGTTCCTCAGACTATTGTTCAGTATAACAGGAACTTGGCCAATCACTGCTGTCCACAATAAGCTGCCTTACCACATGCTCCAGTAATCGTCGTCACAGAATCCTACCCTGCCCTCATGTAAAAAGACTGGTTCAAACCAGTTCTGCTTTGTTTCTTTTAGTTTATACAAATCCTACAAATCCTGCATCAGCGATCGCTCCGCCATCCTGTCCGCGACGCTCTTTAACGTAGATAGAGTGAGCGGGGACATGGCTGTTCATACTGCTAGGACTCGCTAACTTATTAAAGCTACCCTGAAAAGCAAACAAAACTTGTAGCTTATCTTTACACTGACTGTCGATAGGATATAATTTGTCAAAGCATATGTAATTATGTTAAGACAAACACTACTGCTATAAATTGCATTCTATGGCGCCAAAATAGTATGCGATTTCCTGTTTTTTTCCCACAAAAATATTATGCACTTCACCAACTCATCTGGATCATCAATAATTTAAACATTTTGGTCTAGATTTTTGTCCCTGTAACAAACGCGCTTTAATGATATCGGTGACACGTTCATTAAAAAAGTTCATTAACGTAAAATGAAAGCGTGTCAGTATGAATGTGCGTTCAATAACCTAGGTAATGGATGTTAATGGAAGCTTACAATAACAGTGTTGTTTATACTGGACTGTGCGGGTCTTAAACTCCGTTCCTGACTACTTTGCTCCTTTTACTTCACTTGCTCTAAGTCAGACATATTATAGTTTTTTTCAATTGCTATGATACATTCTGCAATACTGAAGTCACTTTCTCAAAACTCTTCACACAGTTGCCATAACATTGGTTTATGTGGGCTAAACCGTGAATAATTTCTCATTAAATAAAATGAAAATGAGACCAAACACAGCTGGCATCCATCCCAAGAGATCCCCTAACCAGGTGTATTTCCAAGAGGTGCTACCCCAGAAAAGGACATACAGTACCCTCGCTAGAGAGGACATCAGATGTGATGTAGATGAGAACTTGTGGTCAGATCCAGAGGAGTGGATGGATTAGCAGTACTACAGTACTACTATAGATGTGGACCAACTGCAAGTATGTGTTTATGTGTGTGTGTGTGTGTGTGTGTGTGTGTGTGTGTGTGTGTGGATTATGTTTATATTACATTATGGGGACCAAATGTCCCCCACAATGTAATAAAAACCTGTTTTATTACGTTGTGGGAGCCATTTTTCAGGTCCCCACAAAGACCTGTGAATGCAATAAAAAAAACTAAAAATGCCAAAAGTCTCATATTCTGTTTGGTTACTTATGATTATAAGGTTAGGGCTGGGTAGGGGTTAAGATCGTATTGTTGGGATTAGAGTTTTTTTCCATAGAAATTAATGGAGAGTCCCTACAAAGATATACTTACAAACCCGTGTGTGTGTATGCACAGTGTATTTTATTTCTGTAGTACTTCCTGAAATACTGCATTTTTGTGTGTGTGTGTTTTAATTAGTCAGTTGAGATAATATTTTTTTTTTATCCTTACTTAGGAATTTCTCTTTCTTTCTTTCTTTCTTTCTTTCTTTCTCACTTCCCCCTGTTTCTCTATTATTCTGTCTTAATGATGTCATAATGTACCACAACACCCCCGTGTACAACGCCTTGGGGCAACTGTTGTGAAAGACGTTATAAAAATGAATTGAACTGATATATTTACTTATCACTGTAGTCATATTGGTCTTGCTTTTTCCATCCATACAACGACAGGAAACATGTTTAACATGTTAATTACTCTTGCATGTGTGACAGGCTATGGGGCAACTGAATACAAAAATAAGGGCATAAATCTGCACAACTATGCAAGATCAAAGGTTGTCTTCCACCGCTGACAGCGTTCAGTTCAAGTATGCAAAAATATGAGTAAAATGTATAAATTCAAACATATTTTAACTTTTTACTGAAGGGTTCTACCTTCTGTTACCAACAAGCAGTACCGATTACACCATGGGATACAAATCATTCCACTGGCAGTACTGTTTTTTGCTTTTAAAATTTGAAAAATCTTTCTATTTTAATAGAACTTAAAACACCAGCAATAAGTCAATATACTAGCTATAGTGTTTTACCGTTTTTGCCATTATCAACAAAAGACACTTTAGCATCTACAGTATAGTCTTGACGTATTGAATGCTACAGTGTATCAAACAAGTCGCTTTTATTATTAACTTATACTAACCTCCATTTTCCCCATTTTATTGCTGATTATGTAGCCTAATATTTAACTTTAAACTTTATGTTTGTAAAACGTATACGTTTTACTTAACTTTTATCTAGTCTAATATGCTGGTTTATTTTACTTCGCAGAACTAATTCATGCTGCAACTGAAAATGACGAAGGGTGCGCGCAACATCGTAAAACATTTTTGATAGAATTACAAATAAACAAATAAAAATACAAGGAATCTCTGCAGTTTTCATACTGCACTTACCGCCACATTGAAAGTTTGCAGTCGTTTTCTTTTTTCATCGTTTCTTCATACCAGAATCTCCATTATAACCAAAAGAAAATCCTTCAAAAACATCATTGCCTAGAAACGTCTCCATTAGATGTTAATGCCACAGCGGATGATTGCAAAGCAGTGGGGGATAACCACACCCGGCGGAAACGCTCTTTTAGGTTTCGATTACTGCTTAGTACAGTATCATTACAATGCAGAACATAATGATGAATAAGTTATGTGAATAAGCAGTAGTCGAGTTGTAAAAACAAATCAGGGGGGATGGTGAATTTTATCGTTTATCAGACATATTTTGTGCTGATGACAGTGTACATGGTGGGAGACCAACTGTGTACCCTTTTTATTGTTGTGTAAGCAAAAACACAATTAATATATTCTACTATCCTAAAACAACATGCATGGTGCGGATGTTACGTGTCAGATACTCGGAGTATGTTTTCAAAGTAGGAAATGCCAATCCGATTAAACGACGAATACTTGCTTGGAAAATCCCTGCTTGAAATGAAATCAGAGGTAATTGGGACGCGGCGCCCTTAAGCAGGACGCGCGCGCCTATAGTTTCTTTTTGACCTCAACTAGGCGGAGCATCAGCTTTTTGCCTTTTTAAATCCGAAGTCCCTCGGATCGAGCTGTCCATGCCGTTTGGCCATGATGTTAAAATCACATCAATACCGTCACCTGCTATGCCGCTTACTGAGGTAAATTTTTCTTAAAAAAAGTTGGCAGGCGCATTATTCGCGCGTGCCCTCTCGCTCACGGTATTTTACTCAATAGACCTATGCATTCATTGATAAAATAGCACAAGGGATGGAATTTCTTTTTCAATTCAATTCAATTTTATTTATATAGCGCATTATCACAACATTACATTGTCTCAATG